AGCAGTGTAACCTTGAGCAAGTTGCTCGTCTCTCTGTGATTTCACTTCTCCATCTCTAACAAACACACATAAGTGAGATATGATTAGGGTTACGTGAAATCATTCATGTAATAGACAGTAAAGTGTATTAAAAATCTGACCTATACTTAAGTACTTAAGTATTAAGCAATCATTATGACTATTTATCCTATTATGCCCATGGCAAGCCAGGTTGTTTGGATTACCTGGTTCATAATTCAGGCATCAACATTAATTGGGTGGCATTATACTCAAGTTACAGTTGCCATACCTAGGAGGAAAAAACAGACCCAGAACACTGTAAGTAAATATTTTACCTACATTTGGGGATAGATGGTGTTTGCCCAGAACATACACTATGTATTCATAGCAGAATCCTTTCTGTTTCCAGTTTCTCAAAAGGAAGTAAAATGGAACACTTCAGAAGAGTTGTTAGTTGTAGAAAGACAGAACGCTCTATTGCCTTCACCTGAACTATTCTAGGCTGGATTGCTATTTCTAGGGACTAATCAGGCAAGAACTATGATCTTGTTCCTGCTTGAGCACGTGTCATATGCAAGAAAGAAAACAGAAGGAATAAAAAAGAAAGATGCTTGGAAACGCTACTAAACCAGAATCTGTACTAAAGCTCTGTCTGTATTAGTACCTCATCTACTAGGATGGAAATTACTCATATTTTCTTTTTAAAAAATGAATTGCAGAGTTGAGGAAGAATTTTAGCATTAGCAATATCAAATTATTTTACGTTTCAACCTGCGAAGACTCACAAAACTGCTGGTCAGCTATGTCCTTATAAACTGTGGCTTAGATTGAGTTGTCATGAATTTAAAAATGTTTTTCATTTTGAGAATGTTTAGCTATTTCCTCCACATTGATAGGACTGTGATCTCTTGTGTTCTTGAGAACTACTGGGACTAATAATGTGCAAAAGAGCCAAAATTAATCATTTGTTAAATAAGTTTCCTGGAAATTTTTCTCATTAACTATTGGTCAGGGTGAAATGTTGGTCATTAAGTATCGGTCTACCCTAAGATAACAGAAATTATAGAGTTTCTGGAGAGATTTTAACTAGAAGAGATTCTCTTCAGGCTGGATGGCTTAGACATGTCCTGCCTGTAAGCAGAGAAATAGACTCAATGATCCCTGATGATCTTTTTGCTCTGTGCCTACTGGGCCCAGGATGGCTTGGCATGGAGGCGGGTTCCTTTGCAATAGGTGGTGGGAAATCACTACAGTAACACTGCTCAGTATCAGGGGAGGCTGAGAGCAGAGCCAGAGCTGGGAGCCTTCAGGAAGACCTGAAAGGCTCAAGGAAGTTATGAGACTTTGACTGAACTGACACACTGACAGCACAACTAATGGGATCAGCAGGCTTGATCTTTTTGTGAAAACTTACTTATTTTTAATTGTTTTAGAGACAGAGTTTTGCTTTGTTGCCCAGGTTGGACTATAGTGGTGCAATCATAGCTCATTGCAGACTCAAACTCCTGGGCTCAAGCCATCCTCTTGCCTCAGACTCCCGAGTAGCTAGGACTACAGGCACATGCCAACATGCCTGACTAATTTTTAGTTTTTAAATTTGTTTTTGTAGAGATGGGGCCTCCCTTTGTTGTCCAGGCTGCTCTGGAAATGATCCTCCCGTACTGGCCCCCCGTCCAAAGTATTGGGATTATAGGGGTGAGCCACTGCACCTGACCAGCTTGATCTTGAGTACTAAATTGACCCTTAGTTAGAAAGGCTAATATAGACTAATTTTTGTGTTCATTTAACAAATATTTATTGAACATTGATCTGTGTGCCAGCGATGTCCGAGGTAAGGGGATACTTATTAAGCAAAGCATCTTTGTTAAGCAAAGCATCATTATTCCTGATTTCATGAGCTTATGATATGATACAAGAGACCTGTATTAACTAACCATATGCATATACAATTACAGACTGTGATGAGATTCCTGAAGAAAATTACAGGGCACAGTGAGAGTGTACAAGATGGGAACCTAACTGAATAAAGAGGTGGTGGTCAGAATTTGAAATTGTGTGGGCTTCCCTGAGGATGTGGTTGAGATCTGTAGGACAGATCTAGAAAACCAGGTAAGATGGAACTTTCCAGGGAGAAGCATGGGAAAGGTCCTGAGGTGGCCAGATATAGAGAATAGTGCTATAAAATGAGGCTAATGAGGAGTATGGGGGCAGCCGGGTTCACAAAAGCATTTTAGTCTTTAGCCAAAGTGCAACGAGAACACGTTGAAGATTTTAAGAAAGCAACAACAGAAGGAGCAGAATGATTAGATATTAATTTTGAGCAATTCTGACTGCAATGAGGAGAAATCACTGATAGTGCACAAGGTGGATATGCTGTAGTAGAAACAAGAGATGGTAGCTTGAACAGGTGATCGCACTGGAGATGAAGAGAGGTATTCAGACTCCAGATCCCTATGGAGATTAAATTGACAGTAGTTGCTGCTGGACTGGGAAAATGTCTGTGGGGTGGGGAAGATAAAACTCCAGATTTGAATATATTGTGGCTGCCCAGATGAAGGACACAGTTGGATTTTTGGATCAGATCAGAGGGAGGGTTTGGGAGGTTCTCTTGGTCTCTCCAAACTAAGTGAGGAAGAATCCTTCAAACTAGATGTGGTGGAGGACAACATCTCTGTTCATCTTGGCCGTGCATTCCTGGAGAAGGTCCTCTAAGGCTTCCTGAGTATTGGCCTTAGCCTTAGCCTTCGATTATTTCCAAAAGGCTCTATGGAGGAAGGCCTCACATCCATCATGTTCCCTATTACAGGCCAGTACTTAGAAGAATGTCCATCATCGTCAAAATATGTTTCCTCAAATATTTACAGATAAAAATTTGATAGGTATTTCCCCCAAAAGAACAGAGAATTAGAAGTGATTATGGTAAGATGGAGAGAAGTCTAGGAACTCCATGCCCAAGATGCCTGACATAGTGACCGTCTGATATCCTCATCCCTCCATTGCTCCCTACCACACGGGTCTTGTGCCTCTATAGAGACTTACGCCTCTATGCCCCCAATACCCCACCTTCTCGTGTATTTTAAAAACCTTTAAAAATTGCTTAGGTGAATATATTTGGTATTATTTTGGAATAATATCACGCCTGATGACATTTAAGGAGAGAATTTTTTGGTTGGATGAAACAGGGAGTTACCAAATTGTAGCTACTAGAAGGAATGAACAAAGAACTCAGGTCTAGGCAAAACAAAAGAAAGAACACAATTAGGTAGGCCCAGGAATATGACTGAAATTGTTAGAAGTTTGGCAAAGAAAGTTCCTTCAGATTCTAAGTATCTTGGCAGCCCTGGGAGGTCTGGAAAGTCAGGGAGCAGCTTGTCAAGAATTCTAAAGCAGTGAAATGAAGCCAAGATGTGAATTCAAGGCAAGGGGGTTCCCAGTAAACAACATTGGTGAACTTTACCTCCAAGGATGGACTGTGGGGTGGTTAACTGCAACAAGAAGAAACCAGAGATCTACAAGTGAGCTGTCTCTGGGGCTAGGTCCAAGATGGAGATGACCTCACAGGCAGGCAGGTTAGCTAACTTTGCCCGAGAATTCTTCCATCTCATTCTTGCTGTGATTTTTTTTTTTCATTTTGATGCAAAAACGATGAGTATATACTTCTTCAAAATTATGAAATGTATATACAAGTGGATTGACACCATTTGTAATTTGATTTTTCAGTCACCAATATGTTGTAAACTTGAAAGCAGAAAATTACCTGATAAGCAGATATTTCTAGAAAGGTGATTAAAAATGAGTAGAATTACTAATACCTTCAAATGGACATGGTTTCAAGCAGCAGATATTAAATATTTTTTCTTTTTTCTTTCTTTTTGAGACAAGGTCTTGCTCTGTCTTCCAGACTAGAGTGCAGTGGCATGATTACAGCTCAATGCAGCCTCAACCTCCTGGCTCAAGTGATCCTCCTGCCTCAGCCTCCCAAGTAACTGGGACTATGGATGTATGCTACCATGCCAAGCTCACTTTTTAGTTTTTGTAGAGACAAGATCTCACTATATTGCCCAAGCTGGTTTTGAACTCCTGGGCTCAAGCGATCCTTCTGCCTTGACCTGCTGGGATTATAGGTGGACTTTCTTCACAATATGTTAAGCGTGTGTGTATATGCATGTGTGTGTGTGCGCGCACATGTGCACCCTTGCACATGTACATTAGCTAATTTCTCTGACTCTTTACACTATATTATTATGCAAAAAATGTTGCATTCTGCCACTGAAGCCTTCTTGTAAATATTCTACAAACGTTTGCGAGCAGTATTGGCTCCTGGAATCGGGAAACGTCTGTTTAGGGAACTCTTTCTTTTGGATGGGGTGTGGGCCCAGGGTCAATTCAGTGTAGAAACATGAATACAAACAAGACGCAGATCTAATCCCACTGTAACTGTAGGCTAAAGAGAGCCTTTTTATTTAGCTCTATATCTTCATGGGGATTCAAAGACACCTCAAATGCAGAATTTCCAGCCATCTCAGGTGTAAGTTGTGCCACCTGGTCTGGGTCTTGTTACTTTTACAATCATCACAATAAACTAACCAGAAGAAAAATGTGACATTTTTCTCCTTTTGGAATGATTAGTTACTATGTCATTATATCTTTCCACCAGAAAACTGTGTGCATCAATGTTCTTAGTGGCCTTGAATAGGATGTTCATCCTCCATAGCTCTCTCTGGGAAGGCTCGTCTGAGTGTTGGGGAGTCTCTCTTCATATATACATATTTAGGTATGTATTCTTTTTTGCAGTCCTCTTATTCCTTTTCCTATCTTTTTCTTTCCTTCTATTTGCAGTTCTATCTCGTGTTTTACTGCTGCTCTTAGCTTATACCACTGTCACACAATGCTTGATCCCTCTTCCTTTTCCTGTCCTTTTCAAAGCTTATCAGAACTGAGCTTCAGTCCTTCAGAGTCATCCTCAGCAAGGAAACAGAACATGTCTATCCACTCATGAAAATGTTTGACTTATCTTTTAATATTTAGATAAGAGACGATACTTAACATTCACAAGTTATTCTAAATGCTGGGGACCATAAGCACAGGGTAGGCCACAGTGAAGATCATTTAGAATGGGCAAGTCTTTCAATTTCCCTTACATCATACCAAGCAGGCAAAGCCTACATACATGGCAGGACCTGCCTGTGTGATGTACCATTCCAGCCCTCCTTTTCAAAGAAAACTTGAGCAGGGACCCTAGGACACCACCAGCAATGGTGGGACTCCCTTTTGTAATCCAAATAAGTAGGATCTAAATGAGTCCAGGTTGGAACAGATAAAGAATGGGGTTGAAAAGGAGATGTGCTCTTGAAATCGGCCAATCTCATAGCCTGGAGCAGGCACCTGTGGTTAGCTGAGTCACACTGCCTTGGGATTAGCCAGCTCTGTTTTCCGTTTCAACAACAAAAAGTCTTGCAAAACTGCTGGCATGTGAGACAGAGGTATCCAGAAAATTTTGGCATCTTTTCCAACAGCATAATGAGTCTTAGGGAAGAGACTTGTTAGAGCGTGGTCCATGCACTCTACCACCGGAGAGAGGTCCATGTTTGCATAGGATTTATTGCCTTTCAGTTTGTCTAGACCTAAAAAGAGACAAAAGCACATTTACTCTTTGGAAGAAGGGGAAAGCAGAGTGGAAGTCTAGGGTGCAAAGGGGAGGATGGATACAAGGGGACTTTTTCTGAATTGTCCGTTATAATGGAGGCTCATTTTGAGGATTTACTATCTATTCCTCAGAAAAGGATACTACAGTGCTTTCTTTAGACCGGCGGCTCTCGAGATTGGGTGGGCAGCAGAATCTTCTAGAGAGCTCAGTAAAACTCAGGTTTCTGGGTTCCACCTCCAGAGTTTCTGACTGAGGTATGAGGTGGGGCCCAAGAATGTGCATTTCTAACAAATTTCAAGATGATGCTGATGCTGCTGGTCCAGGGATCAAACTTTGAGAGCCAGTGCTTTAGAGCAATGAGCAAATGATACTTCATAAAGCCCATGAAGCCCCTAAGCCTAGAAAGTTGTATGTTTGATTTCTAATTTGTTTTAGGGGATTATGTATCTAGAGAAAATGTGGGTTACACATGTGCTTGTGCATGTATGTGCATGCATGTGTGGATGTGAGTGCACACTTGTATACCACAGGCTTCTATAATCTGTAAATAAAGAGAGAATCATCCCAAATGTACTGACTCAGAAAGCTACAAGGATCCCAGTTCTCATGCAAATGAAATGTTTGAATAATGAATGAAGGTACCTTTACAGAGGTAGGTTTTTTACAAGGGATTAGTGGTGGTTTAGAACCCTAGTCTTTTGAATACATAGTATTGGGAAAACAGTATATCTACATGCAGAAGAATGAATCTGGATCTTACACCATATAAAAAAAATCAACTCAAAATGGATTGAAGACTTAAACAGAAGACCTGAAATTATAAAACTGCTAAAAGAGGTCTGGCATGGTGGCTCACACCTGTAATTACAGCAGTTTTGGAGGCTGAGGTGGGAAGATCACTTGATCCCAGGGAATTCACGACTATCCTGGGAACCATAGTGAGACCTCTCTCTATTGAAAACAAACAAACAAAAACTACTAGAAGAAAACATAAAGGAAATACTTCTTGACATTGGTCTGGGCAATGATTTCTTTGGATATGACCCCAAAAGCACAAAAGTAAACGCAAAACTAGATAAGTGGGATTATATCCAACTAAAAAACTTCTGCACAGCAAAGGAAACAGTTAAAAGAGTGAAGAGACAACATATAGAATGGGAAAAAATATTTGCAAACTTTATATCTTATACACAGTTAATATTCAAAATATATAAGAAACTCAAATAACTCAACAGCAAGAAAAGAAATAATCTGATTAAAAAATGGAAAGAGAATCTGAATAGACTTTTCTCAAAAGAAGATACAAATGGTCAACAGGTATATGAAAAAAAATGTTTGTCATCACTAACCATCACGGAAATGCAAATTAAAACCACATGAGATATCACCTCACATTTGTTAGAATGGCTATTATCAAAAGACAAAAGATAACAAGAATTGACAAGGGCAGGGAGAAAAAAGAACTCTTGTATACTGTTGGTGAGAATGTAAATTAGTACAGCCATTATGGAAAATGGCACAGAGATTTCCCTCTCAAATTCAAAGTAGAGCTATCATACGATTCTCACATACTTTTAAAACATACCTGAGTTGTGTCTTCTCAAGGGAAAGTCTATGAAGTTAGATCTTTCTTTCAACTTCAGGTCCCACTGGCCACAAGTTGTTCAAAGAACCTAACAAGTCTTAGTGGCTATTTTAAACTCCTACTATCCCAGCTCAGGAATTAAGAAAAGATGACCTTAAATTTGTGGTCACTTTAGGACTGTGCCTTTGGCTCATCTCCAAGTCCTGACTTGAAAACTCTAATAAGGACAACCAGTCCGAAACTGAGCTCAACGGCTTTTGGTATTTCTGAGACAGAACACAAGAACCAGGAACCAAGCCAAAAATAATTGGAGATGGAAGTCAGTGATATATTTAAAGGTATTTAAAAAGTATCGGTGTCAATATCAAACAGAAAGCTCTTTTAAATGAGGGGTTTTGTTTATGAAGTATTAAGTTCAGTCTTAGATGGAACCTACATAGAACCTTCAGAGTCAGGAACTGCAAAGTAGAGCATTTGATGGCAGTGGTTCTAAACCTATAGTGACATGTCAGCACTAAGGTGTTTTAAGACCAGACGTTTCAGTTGATATATAGATAATGTGTGTACCTCTGTGTGGATGTGCGCGCGCGCGCGCGCGTGTGTGTCTGTGTGTGTGTGTGTGGTGTCTGGGGTAGTGGTGGTTGGAGGAGTCAGTCATTTTAAAAACCTCTCCAGGGGGGTCTGACTTGGCTTTTGGTTCTGCCTTGAAAACTGCTGACCATGAACCTTGCCACAGTTGACTGCCTTACCAAGTCCACTGATCAAGAGGCATGGGCACAGTTTGGAGGAATAGAACTACACATCTACACATAGTTAGGTGGAACCCTGCTCAACTCAAAGCAGGAGCTCAGTAAGTATTTGAGGAATATCAAGTAAACTTTAACTGACCCAAGAAGTTTGTGGTGGAAGGGAAGGCCTGATAACAGGAGTGTGACCAAAGTCCTTAATGCCTTGTTTACATTATAGTGCTATGGCCAAGCATAAATGGCAGGGTCAGGCTGCCTGGGTCCAAATCTAGCTCTTCCACTTACTTGTGGTAAAATTTTGGTAAGTTACTTCTCTATGCCTCTATTTCTATAAAATGAAGATGATAATAGAGTTTTTGGGGGGATTTTAAATGAATGTCCATGTAAAGCACTTAGAATGGTGACAAGTACATAGTAAATATTTACTATTTGTTAGCCATCATTATGCCATCTTTATTATTATTTTCCCATCACTGACTCAATCTCTGACTTATTCTCCCATCTCTGACTCAATCTCTTGACCAGGAAGGCTCCTGGTGTCTTCCGTCTCCTCCTCCATGTGTTCCTGCTCCAGACAGTTTACACCCAAGTAATTATTTCCTGTCCTTTGGGTCTCATTCAAACCTGACCTGCCCCATTAGGGTTTCTTAACCAGCAATGCTCTTTTCCTGGTCTGAATTCCCTGGGGAATTAGAAACCACACCATCTAGCACCATTTCTGGGCTGTTAGATTACACCTAAGAAGTAAAGGATCAATTTTATTGTGTGCTACATTGTTTCATTGTTTTACATTCTCACTTGGTTACTTCTTGTTGTCAACTACATTGTAAACTAGTTAAAGGTCAGAGGCTGAACCTTCTGTATCTTTTGTAACCACCATAAATCCTTAAACAATGCCAAGTGTACAGCTGGTCCTTGACGAAAAGAGGAGGTATGGCAAAGGTGAAGACCATGGGCTGGAGTCATCTGCCTGGGCTCAGGTCCAGGCATGACTAGGAGGTGTTGTGTAATCTTGGGCAGGACATTTCACTTTCCCAAGCCTCTGCTCATTACTCTAATAGTTTTTGAGGAGTAAATGATATAATTCATAAGACACTTAGCAGATAGCTTGGCAGTTTGTAAGTGCTCAGTAAATGTTTATAAACAGAAGCAAGAGATGACACTGAAATTAATAGGTGATCCCTGATCCATAGTTAAGATCCTTATTGGGGTATTACTCAGAACCTTGTTATTTCATCTGTGTTTGAATCTCCTTCATGCTGTTCAGGACAAAGAATTCCAGAGGACAGTGGCACCACCCAGAAACTCACTTTTTTCAATGTAACCTTCTCCATATTGTTGTTTGATGTCTGGAGACAGCTGCTCCCAAATGGCGAGTTTTTTTTCAGTTACCTTTACTGGATCTGCCAAGTTTGTTTTGAACAATCCTGGTTCAATACATGAGACGTGTACACCAAAAGCTTTCATGTCCCGTCTGTGAAAAGAACCCATTGAAGATGTTTAATTCAGGTTTGTTTAGAAAATATTTGCTATTTGAGTGACTATTTTCTCATGAATCTTTTCATGGAATCACAGATTTGGGTACATTTGAAAGAAATACCTCATTCTCTCTCCTTTTCATTTTACAAGTGAGGAAACTGAGGTTTAGAGTGGTGAAGTGAGGACTAGTTAACAGCAGGATAGGAAAGGGATCTGGGTGGACACCACCCACAGTCCACTGTTGTTCTTCCTAGAGTGTTCTTCACGCTCTCATCATTGACTTAGTGGACATTCAGGTTATGAACAGGTCTCTTATCAGTACTTATGGTGAAATGAACTAATGATAACCTGGACGGACAAGTTCACCTCCATTCTAGCAACATAAAGGAGATTGCAGCACAAATGAAGATGTGCTGAAGGACATGGTACAATAATCCCTGATGTGACTTAACCTGCTCCCTATTCTGTTGAGCATGCTTTTTTCTTTTTTTTCTTTTTTATCATGCTGCAGCAGAAAACCAAAAGCCTACTCATTCCCTAGGCATCTAGGTTTTACAGGAATCATGGTGCCCCTTTCTTTAAAGCAAACCAATATACAGATGCTCCTCGACTTCAGATGGGGTCACATCCTCATAAACTCATTGTAAGTTGAAAATATCCTATGTCAAAAAATGCATTTAATATACCTAACCTGCCAAACATCATGGCTTAGCCTAGCCTACGTTAAACATCCTCAGAACACTGACATTGGCCCACAGTGGGGGGAAATCATCTGGCCACACAGTGCCCTGCAGGATAGCAGTTCTTTACCCTATGATTGCAATGGCTGACTGGGAGCTGAGGTTCACTGCACTGCACAGCATTGCAAGAGAGTACTGTACATATTGTTGCTGGTAGAAGATCAAATTTCCAAATTCTAAGAAAAGTTTATAATGCATGCATCTAAACGAAAGTTGAAAAGTCATGTTTAACATTTAAGTCAGGACCACCTGTATGGCAAACCAGTATATGAATAATCATTTCCTAAATTTGATTTATATTCCTACCAGGAATATATAATATAAGGAAGTATTTATTCATTTTATAGAACTCTTCACCATAAGATTTTTTAAAACTCTATTAGTGAATTTAAAATGTAATTTATTTTTTCTTAGGTTCTGCCTTTTAGCAATGTTACTATTGTAAAGTTTGAAATATATTTTCCTAAAAATGCTAGTTAGCTTGACCTTGAGACATTCCGAAAAGTATGTGACTTGTACTAAAATTAAAAAAGATGATTTCCCAACTTACTTTTGTTTTATTTTATTTTTTTGAGACAGAGTCTCGCTCTGTCACCCAGGCTGGAGTGCAGTGGCGCGATCTCGGTTCACTGCAAGCTCCACCTCCCGGGTTCAGGCCATTCTCCTGCCTCAGCCTCCGGAGTAGCTGGGACTACAGGCACCCGCCACCACGCCCGGCTAATTTTCTGCATTTTTAGTAGAGACAGGGTTTCACCGTGGTCTCGATCTCCTGACCTTGTGATCCGCCCGCCTCGGCCTCCCAAAGTGCTGGGATCACAGGCGTGAGCCACCGCGCCCGGCCCCCAACTTACTTTTGTTGTGTTCATCTGTTGCCTGATTTCCTCTAGATCGTGGAAGCAGCAGTGCCAAGAGGCTATTTGGGAAGACTTTTCTCCCCACCCACTCATAAAAATAACATACTAGGGACAAGTGGCTTTAAGCCCTCCAACTAAACTTACCAGGTAAGTAAAAATCATGTTAAATCAGTATGCATACTGGGAAAATACAGCTTTAAGTAGCCCCAACCCTCTCTGAGATGGACTGCTGCCCCTAAACCTCCTATATATAGAAATTGTGGAGCTGACACTGGATTGTGGAGTACCTACGTAACACCATTTAAAATACTAGTTTCATGATTCATTTAAGAAAAATACTCTTTATTGATTACTTTTAAGCATGGCATAGCTGTATGGCAAAGTTCACAAACCCTTCAGTTGAAATCTTTTTTTAAAAGTGAGTAAATCTCTAAGTACATATACTAAAATTTTATTATGATACTGCTGGTTGTACAGTGGAACCAAAGGTCAACCAAAGAGACCAATGGAGGTTCTTTATGACCTTGCTACTCAAAGTGTGATCCCTGAACCATGGGCAGCACCTGGAGCTTGTTAGAAATGCATGGTCTCAGGCCCCTCTCCAGATCACTTTATCAAAATCTGCATTTTAAAAAGATCCCCAGGTGATTCAAATGCACATTAGTTTTTTGGAAGAATTGTTCCAATATTTTTGTGTTTATTTCCTAGGGGAATCAAACTTGGCCACCTGATCAAATGGTAAAATGAAGTTGCTCTATCTTTATTAATTTCAGTGGAATAATTTTAACCTTTTATTAGTAAACTAAACCTAGGTCCATGGTATAGATAATAAACTCTAGCATATGCCTTCAACAAATAATAGTCAAATAAATAAACGGGTGAATCGAAGGAAAAACTATATCTAACTTTGTCTTCTCACTTTTTTATTGAGGCACCACTCAGCTGAATATCTTCCACTTGCTTCTCTAGTCCTTTCCTCCGCCCTCTGTCTGCACCATATTCTGGGAGTCTTACCTGCACTAAGTATCCTCTGGCTTCTGTTGAGTTCAGTCTATTGAAACTGCCAGTGGGAGATCAGGAAAGAGATGAGGGGGTCAGGTTAGTTATCCTCCTGTGGTGTCAACACTGGTTATTTTTATCCCTTAACTGAAGACACCAGCCTCTGTGTCTCCAGGTTCTGGAAACTGCCCTGTCTCCTTGTCCCTTCAGTCCTCTGAAGAGAAATACCCCTGCTGTCATTAGCCCATAGATTCTATCCTTTGAGATTTCAGTAGATACCTCACACGTTTATAAGTCCTTTAAGCATACTCTGCCTTTTACCGAGTTTTAATGTGCCACCATTTCCTGCCAGAATCTTGACTGAAAGAACCACTTGTACTTTAGGGGATTTGAACTGATGGTGATAAGTTCTGGTTCCAGGTAAGATGGATTAAGCACACTTCCCTCAGTCTCTCCCACGGAATGAAGCTATAAAGCTTGGACAGCATGCATGGAGCTATTTAAGAACTAACAGTTTTCTACCGAAGGTTAAAATAGGATGGTACTGTTGTGTCTGCAACTGACAGTAAACCAATGAGAAGCCTATTCTGATCGAGCCTCTCTATATGATTCCCTAACTATTTGACAAACTGACCAGTTGAATATAAATTCGCTGCCACTCTAAGCATCATGTATTAAGGCAAAAAGTGAAAAGGAGTTAAACTTGGGTTCGAATCTCAGGTCTACCACTTACCAGCTGGATGACCTTGCACAAATGAATTAACCTCTGTTAGTTTTAGTGGCATCATCTATACACTGGGAATAACTTATAGTACTAAATAGGGTAGAGGTGGAGCAGGATGGCCAAATAGAAGCCTTCACTGATCATCCTCCCCACAGAAACACCAAATTAAACAACCTTCACGCAAAAAATCTTCAGAAAACCAAAAATCAGATGAGTGATCACAGTCCCTAACTTTAGCTTCATATCACTGAAAGAGGCTCTGAAGAGGGTAGGAAAGACAGTCTTGAATGGTTGATGCTACTCCTCCTCCATAGACCAGCAGCAACTGTGAGGCATGGAGACAGAATCTGAGTACTTGAGGTGGGGGGAGAGCACAGTGATTGTGGGATTTGCATTGGAACTCAGTGCTGTCCTGTCACAGTGGAAAGCAATACCGGGCAGAACTCAGCCAGCACCCATAGAGGGAGCATTCAGACCAGCCCTAGCCAGAGGAGGACTTTCCCATTTCCGTAGTTAGAACCTGAGGGCCAGCAAGCCTCAACAGTGTGGGCTCATGTGCTCTGGGGTTCTAAATAAACTTGAAAGGCAGTCCAGGTCACAAGGATTGCAATTCCTGGGCAAGTCCTGGTGCTGTGCTGAGCTCAGAGACAGTAGACTTGGGGGGCAAGCAACCTAGTAAGATGCCAGCTTGGGCAGCCAAGAGGGTGCTTGTGCCACCCCTCCCCCAGCCCCAGACAGCACAGTCCACAGCTCTGGGAGAGACTCGTTCCCTCTGTTTGAGGAGAGGTAAGGGGAGAATAAAGAGGACTTTGTCTTGTGACTTGGATACCAGCTTAGCCACAGTAGGATAGGGAACCAGGTAGAGTCCTGAGGCCCCTATTCCAGGCCCTACCTCCTGGACAACATTTCTAGACTTGTCCTGAGCCACAAGGAAACCCTCTGCCTTGAAGGGAAGAAACTAGTCCTAGCAAAATTCGTTACCTGCTGACTAAAGAGCCCTTGGGCCCTGAAAAATCAGGAGCAATAAATACCCAAGGTACTCACCATGGGCCTTGGGTGAGACTCAGAGACATGCTGGCCTCAGGTGTGACCTAGGACATTCCCAGCTGTGATGGCTACAGAGGGAGACTCCTTGTGCTTCAGAAAAGGAGAGGGAAGAGTAAAGGAGACGTTGTCTTGCAGCTTAGGTGCCAGCTTGGTTTGACTGCAATGTGGTAGAGCACCAAGTGGGTACTTAGAATCTCCAATTCCAGGCCTTGGGTCTTAGATGGCATTTCTCAACCTATCCTGGGCCAGAGGGGAGCCCAGTGCCCTGAAATGAGAGTCTCAAGCCTAACAACATTCACCACAAGCTGATTGAAGAGCTCTTGGGCTTTGAGTAAACATTGGTCATAGCCAGGCAGTACTTGCTGCAGGCCTGAGATGGTGGTAGCTATGGTGAGAGATTCCTCTGCTTGTGAAAAGGGGAGGGAAAAGTGGGAAGGACTTTGTATTGTGGTTTGGATGCTGGCTCAACCACAGTAGAATAGAGTATGAGATAGATTCCTAAGGTTTCTGACTCCAGTCCCTGGCTTCCAGATGGCATCTCTGGACACCCCACCCAGGGGTAGGGAGACCTTGCCACCCTGAATGGAAGGACATAAGTCTTATTGGCTGGCTTCACCACCTGCTAATTGTAGAGCCTCAGGGCTTTGAATAAACACAGGCAGTAGCCAGGCAATTTTACAGAAGGCCTTGGGTCTGACTCAGTGCAGTCCCAATGATAGTGGTCAGGAGTGCTTGTGTCACTCTTCCACCAGCTCTAGGCAGCTCAGTATATAGAGAGAAGCTCCACTTGTTTGGGAGAAAGTAAGGGAAGAGAACAAGAGTTTCTTCCTGGTAAACCAGATAATTCTTCTGGATCTTATCCAAGACCATCAAGGTGATACCTCTGTGAGCCTATAAGAGGCACAGTCTTACTGGGCTTGGGGTGCCCCCTAATGAAGATATGGCTGCAGGAACCAAAAAGTTAGATCACAACACCCAAGTCCCTTCAAATACCCGGGAAGACTTCCCCAGAAGGATGGGTACAAACAAGCCCAGACTGTGAAGACTGCAATAAACACCTAACTTTTCAATGCACAGACATAAAAAAAAAAAAAAAAAAAAATCCACAAGCATCAAGACCATGGAGAAAAACACGACCTCACCAAATGAACTAAATAAGACGCAAGAGACCAATCCTGGAGAGACAGAGACATGAGACCTTTCAGACAGAGAATCCAAAATAGCTCTTTTGAGGAAACTCAGTGAAATTCAAGATAACACAAAGAAGGAATTCAGAATCCTATCAGATAAATTTGACAAAGAGACTGAAATAATTAAAAAGAATCAAGCAGGAATCCCGGAGTTGAAAAATGCAATTCACATAATCAAGAATGTGTCAGTCTTTTACCAGCAGAATTGATCAAGCAAAATAAAAAAATTAGTAAACTTGAAGACAGGCTATTTGAAAACACACAGTCAGAGGAGACAAAAGAAAAAGAAATAAAAAAGAATGAAGCATAACTACAGAATCTAAGAAATAGCCTCAAAAGGGCAAATCTAAGACTTATTGGCTTTATAGATGAGGTAGAGAGAGAGAGAGATGGGGTAGAAAGTTTATTCAACAGAGAACTTTCCAAACCTAGAGGAAGACATCAATATTCAAGTATAAGAAAGTTATAGAACACTAAGCAGATTTAACCCAAAGAAGACTACCTCAAGGCATTTATTAATCAAGTTCCCAAAGGTCAATTATAAAGAAAGGATCTTAAAAGCAGCAAGATTTGTTTGGAGATTCCTCAAAAACAAATAACATACAATGGAGCTCCAACCCAATTTGGAAAGGAAGAAGTCAAATTATCCTTGTTTGCAGGTGATATGATCTTATATTTGGAAAAACCTAAAGACTCCACACACATAAAAACTATTAGAACAAATAAATTCAGTACAGTTGCAGGATACAAAATCAACATACAAAAATCAGTAGCCGACAGCAAACAATCCAAAAAAGATTTCTGTTGCCAACAGCAAACAATTTCTATATGCCAACAGCAAACAATCCAAAAAAGAAATCCATTTACAATAGCTAAAAATAAAATGCCTAGGAGTTAACTTAAAGAAATGAGAGATCTCTGCAATAAAAACTATAGAGGACACAAAAAATGGAAAGATATACCATGTTCATGGATTGGAAGAATCAGTATTATTAAAATGTGTATAATACCTAAAGCAGTCTTCAGATTCAATGCAATTCTTATCAAAATACCAATGACATTCTTTACAGAAATAGAAAAAACAATCCTAAAATTTATATAGAAACATAAAAGACCCAGAGTAGCCAAAGCCACCCTGGACCAAAACAACAAAACTGGAGGAATTACATTACATGACTTCAAATTTTCTATAAAGCTATAGCAAATAAAACAGCATGGTACTGGCATACAAATGGACACATACACCAATGGAACAGGACAGAGAACCCAGAAACAAATCCATACGTCTACAGTGAATTAGTTTTTGACAAAGATGTCAAGAACATATATTGGGGAAAGGACCGTCTTTTCAATAAATGGTGCTGGGAAAACTGGATGTCCACATGCAGAAGAATGAAACTACACCCTTATCTCTTACCACATACAAAAATCATATCAAAATGGATTAAAGACTTAAATCTAAGACCTCAGACTATGAAACTACTACAAGAAAACATTGGAGAAACTCTCCAGGACAATTAGCTGGGCAAAGACTTCTTGAGCAATATGCCACAAGCACAGGTAACTAAGGCAAAAATGGACAAATGGGATCACATCAATTTGAAAAGCTTCTGCACAGCAAAGGAAACAATCAAAAAAGTGAAAAGACAACCCATAGAATGGGAGAAAATATTTGAAAGCTACCCTTCTGACAAGGAATTAAAAATCGGAATACATAAGGAACTCAAACAACTCTATGGGGAAAAGTCTAATAATCCAACTTAAAATGGGCAAAAGATCTGAGTAGATATTTCTGAAAAGACATACAAGTGGAAAATAGGTATATGAAAGGTGCTCAACATCCTTGATCGTCAGAAAAATGCACACCAAAAGTACAATGAAATATTATCTTACCCCAATTAAAATGGCATATATACAAAAGACAGGTAATAACAAATGCTGGTGATGACGTGAGAAAAGGGAATCCTCATAACACTGTTGGTGGGAATGTAAATTAGTAAAACCACTATGGAAAACAGTTTGGAGGTTCCTCAAAAAACTAAAAATTGAGCTACTATATGATCCAGCAATACCACTGTTGGGTATATACCCAAAAGAAAGGAAATAAATATATCAAAGAGATATCCACACTACCATGTTTGTTGTAGCACTGTTCACAACAGCCAAAATTTGGAAGCAACCTAAATGTCCATCAACAGAAAAATGAATAAGGAAAACGTAGTACATATATACAATGGAGTACTACTATTGAGCCATAAAAAAGAAGGAGATCCTGTCATTTGCAACAACGTGGATGGAACCGGAGGTCATTATGTTAAGTAAAGTAAGCCAGGCACAGAAAAACAAAGTTCACATGTTCTCACTTATTTGTGAGAGCTAAAAATTAAAACAAACTATAGAGACAGAAAGTAGAGAACTAGTTACTAGAGGCTTGAGAGGGTAGTGGGGGTGAGGGGGAATGATTAAGGGGTACAGAAATATAGAAATATAGCTATATAGAATGAATAAGATCTAGTATTTGATAGCGCAACAGGGTGACTACAGTCAACAATTTATCATAGTTTTTTAAATAACTAAAAGAGTATAATTGGATTGTTTGTAACACAAAGAAAGGATAAATGCTTGAGGTGATGGATACTCCACTTACCTTGATGTGATTACTATGCATTGTATGCTTGTATCAAAATATCTCATATAACCATAAATATATATACCTACTGTATACCCACAAAAATTAGAGATAAATATGGTAGGCTTTTTGAAAGGTACTAAATAGGATGTCTTGTACATAAGCATTCAGTAAATGTTTGCAGCTATTGTTTCCTAATAAGTCAATTAATTTGATTTACCTTAAGCTGTCATTGAAACCTTCCACTGCATATTTGGATGGAGTATAGCCCCCTCCAACGATTGCAAGGCGACCTCCAACACTGGAGACATTAATAACTCTCCCTTGAGCTTTCTTGACCAAGGGAAGCATATTTAGTGTCACACTGATGAGTCCAAACAGATTCACTTCAATGGGTTCTCTGTAGTCCTCTAGTGTCAGCCAGTCAGTGGGAGCCAGCACACCGGGAATACCAGCATTATTGATCAGACCCCAGAGACCTAGAACAGAGAGGGAAGAAAAGAGGTGTGGTAAGATAGTACTTATTTGCCACCTTTGATGAACATACAGCCTCTGCTTTGCACAATGGTGCCATTTCCTCCTTGAAGTCATTTTCCTACTCTGAAATACTTTGCAGTTTTGGGAAGTGATAGCAGAGAGGGTGGGAGGCTAAATTGAAGTAGTTGAAGTTCTCACTGTTACTCTGTTTCTGGTTCTGAATGTCAAATACTGAAACTCTGTGAGTGAGTCTTTCTGCTTTTTAATCTAAGATGTGGAGTAAATTGATCTATTTTTCCTCCCTTGCTAGATGGTAAGGCCAGAGAATATTTATATAATGTTCTGTATGGACAAAGAGTGATATCAATCTATTTCACATTTATTTTTGGTTAAGAATTGAGACATTCACTTGGCTTGTTTAAAATGGGAAACATTTAGTATTGTTAAAGGCGTTGGAATTCAAGTGTTAAAAACTGAAGCCTTATCAAATCGTTCTTTTGAGCTTCAGAGTCTCAGCTATATGATCAAGATGTACTAGAAAAAAAATCACAAACATTTGTTTTTTCTTTGTGAATCCCAACATCTTAATCCTTGAGAATGTTTCACTCTTCATTCAAAGCCAATAAAATTTCTTCTAGTTCAGAATGCAGTCACCACAGCACAATCTATTGCAGAATGAACATCCAATGGCTCACTACTCTACCTTAACTATGTAAGACACTCACACTCAAATTCTTAGGCCATTTTCAACCTTGCCCATTGAAAATATGTGAGCTCTAGAATCATTTTGTAGTGAGAAGTGGGTCCCAGGTATTCAGATGGCAATTTAGGAATTGCCCCCATATTCTCCTGTACATTTTAATCTAAATTCATTTGCTGTATATGGGACAGGGGGGAATAGCGCTTCACAGGAGAAGATCTTGGAAAGTCAATCTTTTCATCTCAGCCCCAAATTCACCCACTGAGACTTAGGCCCAAGGGTCTTCTGGGCTGTGTTTCTCATGCACACAGACAGCCTGTGCTTGGAACTACTCAGAAGCTATCCTAAGATTAGAGAAGTATACAGCCGGTATTTAGGAGACATTTTCTCGAAAGGCCATTTAAAACTTGAGCACATTTTATTTAGCTTAGTTACTTCCCTGTCCCCTATCCCTGTCCCATCCTCCCCACTTTCATGTCCCTCACCTTTTTCCCCAACTTGGTTCTTCACCCACTGGGCAGTCCTCTTGACATTCTCTGGGTCAGTCACATCCAGAAGTACAGTACGAAGTCTCTCTGAGGTTTCTGACTTTAAAGCGGTTGATCCTGATTCAGTCAGACAGGCAGCGATTACATGAAATCCCTTTTTATCAAAAGTTCTGGCTGCCAAGTTTCCAAAGCCCGAGTCACATCCAGTGATAAAAATGTACTTATCAGTGATGTCTGCAATCTTTAGTTTTCCTTTACGAGTCCACAGAAAACCACAGAGGATTAGGAAGCCTAGCACCCAAAAGAGCATTTTCCCCCTGTGTGTAATAGGTACACTCCTTTCTTCTATAATAAAAGAAGATGGTGTCCTGAGTGTTCAAAGTGAAAAAGAAAATTCAAATTAGAACCACCAAGGCATTGTAACCCAGGACTGATGATATTTTAATGCATTTGTGTGGATAAACAGAAAAAGAAACAACAACTCTTACTTGGTTGGTTGTTGGGAAGATGGCCATTTAAATGATAAATTGCTCCTCTAAAATAATACAAAAACTAACCCAGTAGTATTCAGAGAAATTAAATGGAAGAGAGGGAGGTGGGAGCCATGGCAAAATCGACACAAGCCATTGAGTTGACATGGCCAGCTGGAGCTGTGTGGAGTGATGGTATTAATCTCCGGAGTGAACTCGTCCATCAGGAAGACAGATTCTCACAGTAAAATCTTACCTCTTGCTAGTTCATGAAATTCTACTGCAGAATGGGCTTAAAATCTATTAGAAACAATAATTCAATTTTAATTGTTCTGTCAGACTCCCAATTATGTTCAAACTGTTGGAAGAAGAAGAGCATTTTGGTGTTGCCACTAAGAAGATATTCCCAACTTGGCTTCCATTTTCTTATTTTAAATGGGTTAATGTCAATCTTCAACCCAACTCTGAGATCATTACACCCCAGTGCAGAGGAGTATTAAAGTGGGAGGCAGCAAGTGAGTTCACCAAGAAAGAGCAAGATAAATGGGAAGCAATTGAGAGAGAAATGCTGGCCAATGCACCATGTTCCAAACCAGACTCCCACATCCCCAAATTCTGTCTTCTGTGAACACTAGCCTCCTGTGAGAAAAAAATCACATGGACAGAGGATAAAGTAAAGCAAATGCATGCTGTAAAGCTGAAGCTTTGACCATACGTGCAGCAGAACTACTTGGAAAATTAGTTTTGTCAGGGCTAGAGGTAGCCTAGGGCCTAAAATCAGGCAGGTAAAGGGCTTTCTTTCCCTTTCCTCAGAAGCCTGCATCTGCGTTTCCCCTCCGTATATATCACTCTTACCATGGGGTATTGGTGCCAGGGAAAAGCAAGCCATCCAGAAAGAGGAAGTGAACAAGAACCTGAGGGTTATGCCTGGGTACCAAGGCTGTATGGCCGGCTGCCTCAGGTCTGAGTACCATGAGCCCAGCCCTCCGCACTCATAGCCATGGGGCAGCCCAAGAGAATGAGATCATCAGCTCCCTCCCCACAGAGGAGCAGATCTGTATTGGCTCTCCTAGCCTGTGGAAGGGAGAGGGGCTAAAGAGAGCACCACATGTGGGAAAAACCTTATTTTCTTCCTCTGTGACCCAAAAAGCTTCCTCCAGTGTCCACACAATATCTTTGCCCTCAATCTTGACCCACCTTAGACTCAAGAGGGGCTTTAAATGCCTCACAGAGGACAATCGGTAGGCCCTGAGTTGAAGTTCAGAACTTGCGGATGCTTTTGGAATCATGGCTGTTCCTGGACACTGAGTTCAAAAAGGAACTGAGAGGCCAAGCGAGTTTATAGACTTTGAACTTTATTTTATTTTTCTTTCTTTCTTTTCCTTCCTTCCTTCCTTCCTTCCTTCCTTCCTTCCTTCCTTCCTTCCCTTTCCTTTCTTTCTTTTCTTTCTTTCTTTCTTTTCTTTCTTTCTTTTCTTTCTTTCTTTCTTTCTTTCTTTCTTTCTTTCTTTCTTTCTTTCTTTCTCTCTTTCTTTTTCTTTCTGTCTTTCTTTCTTTCTTTTCTTCTTTCCCTCCCTCCCTCTCTCCCTCCCTCCCTCCCTTCCTTCCTTTCTTCCTTCCTTCCTTCCTTCCTTCCTTCCTTCCTTCCTTCGTTCTTTCCTTTTCCTTCTTTCCTTCTTTCCTCCCTCCGCTCCCCTCCCCTCCCCTCCTCCCCTTTTTTCATGGTTTTTTTTTTTTTTTTTTTTTCTTTCTTATTTCACTCTTGTCACCCAGGCTGGAGTACAGTGGCACAATCTCAGCTCACTGCAACCTCTGCCTCCCTGGTTCAAGCGATTTTCCTGCCTCAATCTCCCGAGTAGCTGGGATTACAAGCATCCACTGCCATGCCTGGCTAATTTTTATATTTTTAGTAGGGGCGGGGTTTCTCCACGTTGGCCAGGCTTGTCTCGAACTCCTGACCTCAGGTGATCCGCCTGCCTCGGCCTCCCAAAGTGCTGGGATTACAGGTGTAAGCCACCGTGCCCAGCCTGGACTTTATTTTCTTAATATTATTTCCTGATTTTTCCTTTGAATCCTTTTCAAAAATTATATACTTTTTTCTGCTTATAAAAGTAATTTATCCTCGAGAAAAAACATAGAGAAAAAGAAGATAGTAATGATTATAACACTTAATTCAATATTTTAGTGCATTTTCCCCATTTTTTTCTGTATATGTAAAGTTTTCTTTCTATATCAAGAAATATAAACATGCACACAGAATTTTAAACACCACACACACACACACACACTTTATTTTTACCGCTGTTTGAGAAACAGACTATTTCAGATTTTTAAAAAAAATCAATGTAATGTCTTCTTCACTTCTCAAGAAAATTTTGGGCTCTGCTTTTATCTTTCTTCCCCCAGAAGATCTATAGCTAAAGAAAAAAAAAGGAGATAAAAGAATTATCATTTCAGCTGGGCCTTGTGGCTCACACCTGTAATCCCAGCACTTTGGGAGGTAGAGGCGGGCAGATCCCGAGGTCTGGAGTTTGAGACCAGTCTGGTCAACATAGTGAAACCCCATCTCTACCAAAAATACAAAAAATTAGCCAGGTGTGGTGGTGGGTGCCTGTAATCCCAGCTACTCGGGAGGCTAAGGCTAGAGAATCAGGCAGGAGAATCGTGAACCCAGGAGGTAGAGGTTGCAGTAAGCCAAGATTGTGCCATTGCACAAAAAAAAAAAAAAAAAGACTTGTCAATTGATAAAAATTAAGTCAGAGGAGTATTAAAATATGTTAAGTTTGGAGAACCTACTTGATTCTTGTGGTATAACTACGACTATTTCTAAAGTAGTAGATTACCATGGCTTAATAATTTGGTATAGTTTTTCCAACTCTTTTCTGTGTAGGAGTTATAATTTGTTGCAAATCAATGTCCACGTAGCAGGATTTCCCCTTCTCAAATATATTACAAATGTGTAGTTATGGGAAGGGAAGTGGTATAACTAACTCTTGCAAAATTACATAGTTAAACCTTTTAAGGAAATTTTATATTTATAGATTCAACTAGTATAGTGTTTTGCTCAAATCGCTTCAGTAAATAATCACCGAATGGCTAAATGTTTAATACATCTTCTGAATGGATTCTGTAGCTTTCATTGCAATCTAAACTCCCAGGGGAATTATTTGAAGAAGACAATATTTGTGGGGTTTTATGTTCTCTGGAGCAGGGGGTTGGAAGTTTTTGTGTTGTCATTTTTACCAGGGGTATGCATGAGGGAGTCACAGTAAAAGAATGTCATACATTAGTAAGGCACTCTACGCTGTGCTTTCACACACAGGTCTCGTTTTGTTCTCTCAACAGCGTTTTGAGTTAGAGAGGGCATATTATTTGCCTCAGAAACCGGCTCAAAGCAACAAAGCGATTTGCCAAGGTCACTGGGACTGGAGTGCTGTGCCCTTCCACTGTAGGAGACAGATGAGGGGCTCTGGGGACTGGAGCACTCCACTCTGGGGTGGGCTGAGAAGTGTCCAGGCTGACAAACTGAGCTGATAAAGTCAACACCTCACACCTTGCCCATGCTTGCTGAGAGGAAGGGATAAAAGTCCACCGGCCAAAAGCAACATCTGACGTCTGAAATAGTGGTGGCTACAGGGTCATCTCCCCTTATAGCCTCCTCTGTTATAGCATAATAACTGACACAAGGTCCCAGAGGGGAAAGTAGATGAGGGAATGGGAGAAGGGAAACCACAAGGAGGGTATGTTCTGTTCCTGTGCATGAAACTGGGTTACCAGCCCCAAAGGGATTGAATTCAGTTGGATAGATGATTTGGGCATCTGTGAAAGCTTCTCAGGCAAAGAGGTGCCATTAGAGCTCTGAGAGAGTCTGTGGATAGAATTCAGGGGTTTCTCCATTTGGATGGGAAAATGATCCCATCTTTTTTTTTTTTTTTTTCTGAACTGTAACTGAAGTTTAGCACAATCTTCAATTGTGAAAGAAACAACAAGCCACAGTAGTATTTTATTGTCTGTGATTTTGTTACCTATAGAAATAACAAATATTTTCATGTTACATTGCATTTGTTGGAGTTATCTCAAAATATGATTAATGCTGATTACTACTTCAAAATTGTGGTGGTTATTGTTCCTGCCACCATGTTAATAGAATAAGCTTGTAAATATTTGGGTGTATTTCAATACCGTAGGTTTCTTTTGTAATACTATGTATTTCACTTCAAGTGTTAAAAAAGTATTCTCACTTCTGAGGTAGCTGTAGTAGTGACAGTCATGTCAATCTAAATTTCCTAGGACATACTCCAAAAACTATGTACAATTCAAAGAGAAGAACAAATAGAATAACATAAAATCCATGCCTCCACCAGAACTAGAAAACAGACAACCCTAATATTTCCAATTATTTGATTGAGAAAATAAGCACAGCTGACATCTGAACAACATGGGTTGTTTGGATCCCATATTGGATCCAGACTGCCTGGATCCACGTATGTGCTTATTTTCTTCAGCCTCTGCTACCCCTGAAACAACAAGACCAACCTCTCTTCTTTTTTCCTCTTCATCCTACTCAACATGAAGATGGTAAGGATGAAGACCATTATGATGATCCACTTCCACTTTAAAAATAGTAAGTATATTTTATCTTCCTTATGCTTTTCTTAATAATATTTTCTTTTCTCTAGTTTACTATAAGAGTACAGTATATAATACATGTACAAAATATGTGTTAATTGACTATGTTTTTGGTAAGGCTTCTGGTCAACAGTAGACTGTGACTTAAGTTTTGAGGGAGTCAAAAGTTATACATGAATTTTCAGCTGAATGGGGCACTGGCACCCCTAATCCCTGTGTTGTTTAAGGGTCAACTGTAACTAAGTTGTGGATGATGGAAGCCAGGCTTC